AAAAAAAAAAAAAAAGTTAATTTTTAGGTTTCATAAAGAAAAGCAAAATTGTTTTCATTCTTTATTTCTCAATTAAAATACCAAACGGAATAACGCAAAGAAAATTTTTATTACTTAATCAAAACTGATAATGTATGAATAAAAAATTTTTAGTGTCAAAAAGAACCAAAAGGTTTTTGTCTTTTTATCGTCAATTATTCCTTCTGCCTTTGTTTGGCACATTTGACTGAACCAAAAAGCAAATTTGGAAAATGAAAAGAAAATACTGACTGTAATTGAGGGTTAAAAAAAATCTTAAAGTTTAATTAAAAAGTTGCATAATGTTGGACTAAAATAAGTGATAATATGGGTGATAAAGGAGAAGAAGAAAAAACAATGATTCTGCCCTTATTCAGGATAGTTGCTAGTGATCAACCAACGGTACTATACGTTATTCCAGTGCATTCCGGCAGCTAAACATCTCAACTTGTTCAGGTTTAAGCAAAAAACTCAGCAATCATTCAACAAAGAAAAGTTAATGTCATACACAGGTAATCAAGAAAAAAAGAAAGAAAATACTGAATTATATTTTGAGCTTTTCTTTAACAACCGCAATTTTTTCTGTTTTTTTTCTTTTTGCGTTTTAATCAAACAGATTAGTGGTATTGTTAAAAATCTCATAGTGTTGCTGAAACAATTCTTAACCAACACTCTGTACAGCACTGCTAAATCAAAGCCTTTTTTTTCATGTTTTACAAAAAAGATGTAGGAAATTTCCTCTTTCTTTTTGCATTTTATACAACTTAATTCTTTCTGTTTCATTTATTTATTTTTAGCTTTATCATTCGATAAGCCATGACACTTATGTTAAGAATTGTACAGCTAAGCTGAATGATAGAGTAAATATTCTTGTCATACACTGATAAAAATGCTTTTAGCTTTTTTTTTCAATGTTCTAAGCAGATTTTGTAGTAAAGAAAAATTTTCTTTAATGGAGAAATTTTACAAGTTGAATTAAAGATTTATTCTGAAAAAAAGATTATAAGCTGAATTCTGAGATGCAATTGCATTTTCGACGGTTGCAACTTTCTTCATTCCACAATTGTACAAAGCATTCATTTGCTACCATTAAATTGTAAATATTCATTTTGCATGGACTTTATGCTGGAAGTCAGTTGCATGCAAAATCCATGTGAAAGTGTTTCTACAACAACTGCCTCCTATATTCTGAAGCACCGGATGTTGCTGGTGAATTTCCAGTTACTTTTGTTGTTGTTGTCGTAAGTTACATCTGTAACTGAAAATTCTCATCTTAGCAAAGTGGATTCCAAAGTTCAGGTATTGTTTCATTTTCTTTTTGCACCGAAGCAATTTCTGTCTCTGACAAAAGTGGTAACTAAAAAAAAAAAAATGAAAAACTTTCGCATTTTGAAAGGTAAACAGAACTTCTAATAACTTTTCAAACAATTACATTGCCTTACATAGATTGTTTTTTTTCGTATTACATTGAACAAAAGAAAAAAAAGAGGAGTATATCTTAGCAACATTACAGAACTGTAATGTTTCGTGTGCATTCGGATGGCAGTTAGAAGAAAAATTTCGACTTAACTTTTTCCTTATGACTGCAATCAAACGTAAGTTTGCCATATTGTACTGTTGATTGTTCTGTTTTCTTTGTCTGATGAGTTTTTATTTTTACTGTATAACCTTTTTTAATTTTTTAAAAGTTTACTTAAGTTTAAGTAATATAGGAAAAAAACTGTCTTCTTTACACAAATTTACATTAGTTTGGATGGAAATCGTTGCCGTTTTTCGCATGTTCCAAGTGTTCCAACATTACCTAACACTACACTTACTTTCTTTAAAGATTTGTCATCAGAAAGGGTGATACGCGGGGCTAACAAAGTTGCGTTTCTGTGAAGTTTTCCATCCTGTCG